ATCACACTTTGGTGCAAAGTCAAGATGCCCTGGATCGACCTCTACACCACTAAGAACGACGTGAAGGATGCGTTCCGCTGGGCGTCGCCGCGCTGATCACCGCCGTGCACATGGTGCTCAATTTCGGCTCATAGGGTAGCCCAGGAGAACGGATGACATAGGCGTGGGTGGCCAAGTGTTGCCACGCAGCCTTCCGACTATTGGACGAGCGGTGGAACGACGTTGTCCCCTTCCACAAAGCGTTCTTCATGGACGATGAGGTTCTCATCGAACCCGCCATCGGTACGAGGGCGAGCCAGAGCGGGGAAACGGCCATCGAGGGCGTACGTGCATGCTCGGGGGATGAGGCGATCAACGAGGAGAAAGACTTGGAGGAAGGAAGATGTGAGACCATCAAGATATGCTGGGGACTTCTGTACGACACCAAGGCAGGAACCATCAATATGCAACAGCCTAAAATCGAGAAAACAGCCTACCTATCAGCCGGCCCGGTCCTGCATTCGGGTGCAAGGAGATTCACAGGAAGCTCGCGGAGGTCTACTCAGGCAACCAGCAATATAGGACCCTGGTCATGCCAGCTAGCAGGAGCATAGTCGAATTCACGGACGCGATCATGAGGGGCAAGCCGAGCAGGTAGGCAGATCCAAGAGCGGAGGATGAGGGTGCTGATTTGATCTGGCAGGACTTCTGGCAGGCCACGGAGGTGGCAAATTGTCCTGACGGCGGACAAAAGCACATGGAAGACCAGGTTCGTGGGAGCGCTGGAAGGCACGCTCACCCTCAATGAAAAGCTGACTATGCCTGGCTCGACCTACCGCGCCATCTTGGTGATCGGAGACGCGACGCCCGAAAGTAACGCCAGGGTAGACTTGGTTAAGTCCAAAAGCTCGTTCCACAATGTCGAGGTCTTCTCAGGAACCCTTCGATGAGCTAAAAGGGTCGAGGATGAGGAAGTCATCATGGCCATCGCGGAGCTCCTGAACTTGGTGACCTTCGCAGCGAAAGCGGGGGCCGAAGGCCAATGGACTGGAGGCGTGATCATGTACGGGTGAGAAAGCTACAGCGTGCCCTGCTAGATCCAGAGCTAGGGGACCCGCGGCATGCGAGCTTCCTCATCATTTTGACCACGTGAGTGCAGGTCGTCTACGGGCTCGACTTGAGTCGGAGATGGCTCCACCGACCTCTGGTTTGCCAACGGCCGGAAGCATCCGATCGGCAGGAACGGGTCTCGGTCGACGAGGGAGCCCAGGCCCATGCCCACAGGGGCGGTGGTCCTTGTCAAGTGGAGGGGCGCTCTTGGGTCCTCGTGTAGAGCAGGGGCAATGAAAGGTGCGGTGGTGTGGCTCCGGGAGGCCCAGGCACGGGGGGGGCAGCGTGTCCCCCGGGAGTGGCGGAGAGGAAGCGGGGCTAGCGCGGGCGTGCAGACGTTGCGGCAGCGTCCTTCACCCACGATGCAAACGTGGAGGCGAGGAGATGGGCCGAGTTCCTCCTGCAAGTGGGAGCCGAGGTGGCTGCGGCGGACGCACCTAGAACGGCAACCCTCCAGCCCGCTATGGCCCTGCTGGGACAAGCAGGCTGCGGCTGTGAAGATGCTGAGGATGTGTGCTCGGACTTTGGCGACGCCACGGCAAGGAGAAGGAGGCTGGCAATAACTGTCCGAGATCAGAGGGACGCGATGGGAAACAGCCTCACCTTCTACGAGGGTGAGGCACGGAGCATTAGGAGTGGCTTGGGAAGGATACTGCAAGGGGCGGCGTTGCCCACCAGTCAGGAGGGAGAAATGGTGTTGGACCCTCGGATGCCGAAGCCACCAGGCCATGTGGGCACTGGCAATCGAACGATGGGGGAGCCAAGCAAGCGGTGTATGATGTGGAAAGCCCCGCCCCGGGGCTGCGGGCAAGCGCCGCGGGTGGGCAGCGGGGCGAACGGGTCGTGGTCATGGATGCGAGGGACCGAGTACCTGGGGTGAGACAGCTAAGGGCAGCGGATATCTGGCAGCTGATGGGCGGCTCGGCCGCCGTGATGAGGAGCTCCCTCAGCGATGGAGTGGACGTTCATGTCCTTGTGGGACGGGCGCTTCGGGGCGAGCCTCCAGGGCTGGCTGCCGTCTTGATCGAGGAGGCCTTGAGAAGGCTGGGAGGAGAGGCAATGGCCGAGGACGACTGCGCGGGCTCGCCTGCAGACATGGCTCAGGTCCTGGCAGAAATTTGACCTCTGCGTGACTGAGAGAGAGATAGAGAGAGAGAGAGAGAGAGAGAGAGCGAGAGAGAGGCGCCCAATGTGGTGGAGGATGATGATGCCCCGCAAGTCGATCGAGAGCCATGTCACGCTTGTCGGGCCGGGGCAAGAGGACCGCGGGAGGAGACCACCGCCGAGTGAGGAGTGGCCGAGGCACCGAGCGGCGCCCGAGCAACGAGCAGGAACGAGAGCGGCCAAGACGACGTCAGCGGAGCTGGCTGGAGACGCCAGCCGCGCTATGTCCAGGTCGCCCACGCGAGCTACGCCGAGATCGCCCTTCGGGGAGAGGAGAAAGGAGACGGCGATGAGGGAGGCTGCGAGTTCCTCGCGGCCCGCGTCTGTCTTACCTCAGGGAGGGAAGGGCTGGACGCCGTGGCAGAAGGAAGGGGGGCCGATGCCGTCGGACTACACTGGCGAGGGGAAGGAACCCGGCAGCCCAAGGCCTCCCGAGCAGCCTGAAAGCGGTGAGGTGGACGAGCCCGAGATCGGGCGGCCTGCGGAGGAGCCCGCGGGCCAGGGAGGAGGCGAATGAAGCGAGATCAGTATCTGGGCGGTCTCGGGCCCCGCGGGCGGCGGGGGGATCGGGCGAGGGGAGCCCGAGTAGCCCTCTCACACCCGTCAGGCGACTGAGGGCAGCAGGGGGGGTGGGGGTTCAGGAGGAGCTTGAGAACGACGGAGGCTGGCACTGCACTTCGACGTCCTACGATCCGGCACTCGGCCAGTATCGGAACGTTGTCGGTCGGAGGAGCAGCTCGCGGGAGGGATGTGAGACCCAGGATCGGATGGAGCGCATCGCCGATCGCCTTGAGACGAGGGCTGGGGGCCAGAAAGCTGTGATGTGGGCGGCCGGGGCGGAGGGAGCCGACCCGAACGAGCTCAGGTCGCACAGCATGCGCCTAGGAAGAGCGTCTGCACTCTTCGTACACCGTGTTCAAGGACACGTTCGGGGTGCCGCGCCGGGACCATGGGAAGAGCGATGCTCTTCAGAGTTGCACTCAGGAGGCGAGGCGGGAGATGTGGCCGACGGTATGGAAATCATACTGTTGGTGGCGGACCCCATACTATTGTCTGAGGAGGTGGGGAGATGAGGGGCGCTGGGGCGTGTGCGGAGGGCAAGCCAGTGCAGAGGAGGATAAGATGAGCAGGGCGGCGGTCTGGACGGGAGTCGGAGGGGTGCTTGTTATCCCGCCGCGTAGCAACACTTAGGAGCATTGAGGTGGACAGGGGGTGCCGCGGGGGCAGCCTTGACGGGATGCAGCGGGGCGTCTGTTCCCCGCGGAGTAGTGGAAGTGCCGTGGCGGCGACCTTGCCGTGACGGGATGCAGAGGGGTACCCGTCCCCCACCGGTGGGAGCGGTAGAGTACTCTCAGTAGTGCTGCGGAAGTGCCCCCGAGCGGCGCCGCAGTGGGAGCGGGCAAGGGTTGCGGCTCCTGACGCGGCGGCGGTGAAGCATCATCTGAGTGCCGGAGGAGATCACCAGCGAGGCTGGGCCCGACATGCTGAAGCCCAGCCGCATGTGGCGGCTCACCAGAGTGTAAAGGCGCAAGAGTTGCCGCACGTGCCCCCAGAGCACGGATCGGGGGGTAAGCCGCCGCGGCTGGGCGCCGCGGCGAGGAGCTCTGCGCCAGACACTGGCGCTCGAGGCGCGTGATGCCGAGAAAAAGATGCGAGCAACTCTTTCTCCTCCTCCTCCTCCTCCTCCTCCTCCTCCTCCTCCTCCTCCTCCTCCCTCTCCTCCTCCTCCTCTTGCCTGTGGGGACGGCCTGCGCGAGTACAGCACTCCGCCCGCCCTTCTCTGTGTTTGCCCCTACAGGCAAGACCCAACGTCGCAGGCCACCTCGCTGGCGGGCAGGAGCGCGACGCTGGCCTCCTCCAGCCTAGGAACGCTGCTCCAGTCGGCGGGCGCGCGCAGCCTCTTCGACAAGCTGGTGGGCCGAGCCGACGGGCAGCGGCCCAGCACCAACTTCTGGGCCGAGTTGTCGGTGCCCTCCTTCACTTGTTCACCAACGCAGGTGGCAGAGATCAGAGGCTCTCCTCCACACCATGGCTGCTCTCAACAGCGCAAACTTCGCGCTGCTTAGCCTCAGCCGCGCTGCCTGTCTCGCCGCTCAAGGCGGAGCCGCCAACGCCCTTGTCTTCCAGGAAGGAATCCAGGTCGGCGACAAGATCCACGTCACGGCGAACCCGCAGAGCTCCTCGGCGTGAGAAGACGCCCAAGTGGCGGAGGGCGCGCCTCATCGTCGATTATCTGGCGATTTCTCTGCTCGCGAGCACTGGTGGTGCGCAGGAACGGGTGCGGCGCTGGGGGCGGCTTTGCAAGAAGGCCAGCGGAGTTCTTCGAAGGCCGCCCCCTCGCCCCCCTGCCCCTTCCCCCCCCCCCCCCCCTGTGCGCGCCGCGAGAGCAATTCAGTATCCAACGGTCTCCGCTCCCAGAGGTCCCGAGATGCTGTCGACACCATCACTCCTGCGGATTTCGAGAAGTGGGTTATCTGTTTCAGACGCTGGGGCCCGAACTGGGCCGTTCAACCTGATCGCCCGTGCCGGCGTCGCGCCGCGTCGAGGCGTCGCGAGCCTGCCCTATCTTCTTGCGTCGTTTCGCTGCCAGGCCGGACGAAGGGGGGGGGTGTATAGGGAGGCTTTACGCATATGCTCACGTAGCTGGTTTTCCCGGCGCCTCTCTATCGAGGAACCGAAACCAGCTGCATGCAGCAGAATCAGCACCCCCCTCTCGTCCAACCTGGCTATCGTGAGCCGCAGCGGTC